TCCTAAATTTTTATTTTCATAAATGATATTTACTATTTAAGAGAAAAAAAATCTCAGTGGCCCAATCATGACTCGCCACGTTGCCCATGAGACCGTCTCACGCGTCTCTTGTGTATTGATCCGTCTCACAAGTTTTTGTAGAATAGAATTTGTTTTTTTTTTAAATCTTTTAATCGTGGGATAATTATAAAAATGTCACTTTTTGTGTGCGCATTTGCAATAATGTCATTTAGGAGTGTCCATTTACAAAAATACCATTAATTATAGATTTATAAAGCCTATATCTTAAAATTCTAAACCTTAAAAAATGTTTTGACACTTAAAACCCCCTAAACACTCAAAACTAAACCCTAGTAGAACATAATTAACTCAAACATAAATAATATAAAGAAAAAATAATTTTGAAAAAATTGCACTTTTATAAAGATTTCAAAAGTATAACATTTTTATAAAATAATACTTAAAAAGTGGCAATTTTTTGAAATTTCTATTTAATCATAAAAACCGGCGATTGTTTCACCTTTAAAGCTGGTCTTAAATTGATGTAAGTTTTAATTTTTTTTACTGTCTTTGTAAAAGTTATCTTCAGTATGTGGACCCGACACTTTCCCTCAACATTTTCCGTTTAATAAGAAATTATAGAATAAAAATGTTCTTCTTCCAAAATTTAAGAGGAGTAATGAGGAACAAAAATAATATTCATTTTTTACTATTAACTAATTCAAAATTATTATTTTTAAGATTTACATCTGATTTATATATGATATTTTCGTATTTTATAAAATATTAATGTTACTATTTATTTTCGTATTTTGTGAAACAGTACGAACTCACTTTCGGTGACTACCAAAAACATCTCTCATAAAAATTGATGTCAGCCATGTATTCATCTCTCCAGAGGACGAATCCAGTACTCTAATAAGTACCTCCATAGTCATACGGAGAATTCAAAATCCAATTCGAACATGTAATTAAATAAATTGAAAAAATTACCAACACAATGTTTTTATTTTTGAGAAATGTTCTTAAATTAAAATTATAAATTCAATTTATAAAAAAGATTAAAACATTTAAATTTGATTTACTAATCTCCTCGCTCATTTTAAAAGTTACGCTAGTTTTTGTATTAAATAAAACTTATTTTTTTATTTTAAAATTAATAGATTAAAATTTTAAATGCACATATATATATGCGCCACTCCGACAAACTCCGGCAGATCTCTAAACCCGCTCGGACTCCGATTTGTGTCTTTGGTTGTCGACGTTGGAGAATTATGATAGCAAATAAGTGAGATAGAAGATGAGCGGGCAATCTCTGTGCCACGTCATATTCTAAAAAGACTATATTAAAAAGACTATAAAAAAGGAATTGGAAAACACTTTTACACTTTTAATCAGAAAAATCACCATAAACCCCTTTTCTTCTTCGACCTTGTGCTACGAAGCTTTT